ATCTGTATTGGGGTGGTGTTATCCGTTTGTGCATCCACTACCCCCTTTTGGATCGTGTTCTTCCTTTTCATATTGTGTTATTTTTCCCTCTTCCGGGGTGTCACTGTTTGCGTTTTCTTTTTTTTCCGAGCAATTTTTCGCATTTCGCACATTCCTTTTTGGTGTTTTTCTTTTTTTTTTCCAATTTTCCTGTTTCATAGCACCCTAAACGGTGAACATTTCGACACGCCCCCCCCCGGTGAACGTTTTGCAATTTTTTTTTTCTTTTTTTTGTTCCATGGATAGAAATTTGCCACAAGTGGTGAATCCATTTCGATTGGCATTTTACAGTCCACTTGTACAATGAGCAACTGTTGCCAGGGAGACCGATCCACCTGGCGCGTATTTTTTTTTTGGCGCCCATCGGGGGAAGAAACGGAACAGAAATGTAGAATTAGTGGTTTTATGGCACGGGCGAAGAGGGGTTGCTTCTTCTTTCGTTTTATGCATCCCGTTCTACCCTTTTCCGTGGACGAATCGGTTCTTTCGGCCCCTTTCTTGGAAAGGTATTCCCCACGAAGGAACCACTCCAATAGGTTAAGCTGGCGAAACATAAGGCAGCATTTGAAAAGGCAGAATAGCATTTTAAGTAAGCGCAAAAGGCGAAGTGAGCTCTCCCGTGTTGCCTCCTTTCTGCCAGCATCGACGATGCATTGAAGGGGAGAAGCAGAAATGGAAGAAAGAAAGCGCGAAAAGCAGAGCACAGACATGTCGAAACCTTTGCAGAAGAAGCCAATCGGGGGCAACATGTTACACTGTGTGAATTGATCTAACTCATTGCTTCTGCGTACGTCCTCCCAAGTGATTTTCGTTGCGCCTTTGCGCCCCTGTAGGAAGAGGCCTTTTTAATGACTACACCCATGTTGGGTGAAAAATTTACGGGGCAAATTTGTTCATCAAATTACGCTGCACCCTATTAGGCTGTGTTTCTTCCCTTTTTTTTGTCCAAGCGACTTAGTGAAAAAGCCCTATTTTGCGACATCCCTCTTGAAAAAGTACCACTCATGGAACACTTGCGTAAAGCCAAAAGAGGAAAAACAAAGTTGTAAATGCGTCAAACAAGGCAGACGTGATCAGAGCACCGAGGGGAGATATACCTTCACACTGGGTGACCCATATAAACGTTTAGCCTCTCGTCCACTACGTCGCTTTCCCTTTTTCATTGCTCTTCCTTCCCCCCTTTAACAGACAATTTGGTAACGGGAGCCTTATCGGGCGTCCTCGTTGACGCCGTGCTGTACCCCATTGACAGCATAAAAACGAAAGCGCAGGCAAAAAAGTCCTTCTCATTTTCTGACATAAAAAAGTTGTATAGTGGGATTTTGCCAACCCTAGTTGGCACAGTTCCAGCTAGCGCTTTCTTCTACTGCTTTTATGAATTATCCAAAAAGATACTGACAGGTATGTCTTTCCCCCCCCCCCAAAATTGGCATTGTGGACTTTAAAATTAGACTTTAAAAAAAAATAAAAACGAAAAAAAAAAGAAAAAGACGTAGCAATGTTATACCTTTTATCCATTTTAACATATCCCCAAATGTATCCTTTGCACACACACCCATGAGTTGTTTCTTCGCTGAACTGTTCTCGTTTCGTTGTTCGCCATTCTGAACAAACGGGGGTAACGGTAAAATGGGACGCTTACCTTCCCGGGGGATAAATTAATTTTTTTATTTTTTCCCATTCTGCGTAGAAAATAGAGAAAATATCAGCAAGACGAATTTGTACTTACTTTCAACGAGCATGGCAGAGGTTACAGCGTGTGCAGTGAGGTGAGGCGCAAAAAATGGGACAAAATGGGGAAAAATGGGAAAACGATTGGAAAGCACGTCGACTGGCCGGGCCAGCCGCTACCTCAGCTACCTCCACCTTCACCGCGACATGAGGAACCTCTTTTGTTTTCTTGACAGGATGCCCTTCGAAATAGTGAAGCAGAGAATGCAGGTGTCTGGAAGCAGCTCCGTGATAAGCACGATCTACGACGTCACAAAGCGGGAAGGCCTGATGTCCCTTTTGGGCAAAAGCTATTTCGTTATGATCGTGCGAGAAATTCCCTTCGACTGCATTCAGTACTTCCTGTGGGAGACCTTTAAGGAAAAGACCAAGAGAGGTGCAACGGAGGGGAGGAAAGCTGAGCTCAGATGTAAAAGGGAGATGCGCCGCGAGGTGGGGGAGCCTCATCACAAACTTCGTACCTGTGTGTTACATCCCACCTCTACCTTACCATTTTTCATTTTTACAGACTTTGGCAAATTTTCCAAGAAGTACCCCTCCATAACGTCTGCCATATGCGGCGGACTTGCAGGTTGGTGGAAAAGGAAGCGAGGGACAGTGGTGAATGCGCGCTGGACGAATTGTGCTTAACATACATTCTGCCCATTCTGCGTTACGAAATATCCGCTTCGTCTGCTTAAAGGGGGTAGCCAGAATGACACCTTTACCGCTTGCACTCCATTCCTTTCAGGCGGAATCGCCGGATTTTTAACTACCCCCATGGACGTGATAAAGTCTAGGCAAATTATATACGTATGAACCACAACTTGGCGCCACGGCAAAAATATGTCAATATGTACGCTGATACATGTCCACGGGCGTCTAAGTGTGTGTCAGTATATGTCACCCCCTTTGCCGTGCTCGAACACATTGTTAACCTCCCAAAAAAATAAAACTGTTCAGGGAAAATCCTATATAGAAACCGTGACAGAAATAGCGGAAGAAGGATATATGACATTCTACAAGGGATGTTGCTTTCGGTCGCTCTATTTATTTTTTGGGGGGCTCATCTTCTTTGGGTCCCTTAGATTTTTCTCCTTTAAAAAGGAACAACACATATAAAGTCGGATATACGAAGTTGTAAACCAACCCATGGCGAAATGTCTTCTTTGTTAACAAAATGACGCCACGTTTGATACACCTATTTTAGCACATTTCACGAAATTTGCCATGATTTTGTAAGAAGGGCGTTCCATATGGGTGTTCCCTTTTTGCTTTAATTCTTTTAAAAATGTGTTCCGCGTTTTTGCTTGCACATTTAACTTTTTTTTTTTTTCTGACAAGCCAAAATTGCGCAGTTTAATATACATCCAGGTTAATCCCCTCTTAACGTGTGAACATGCTTAACCTTTTTGACGCAGTGGACTCTTTCTCATTTAAGCCGATTTATGTATCTTATTGTTGTTATTTTTGTGTATGGGGTTGCTTAACACTTTGTTTAAACGGGGGGGAACATTGTTGCGGGGCCGCCCATTAGCCAATGCGATCTGGGAATTGCGCAGTTACGCTGTTACACGGTTGTGCATTTCTGAGATGCAGGTGAGCTTCCTCAAGCCCCCTTGAAGGTGCAAAAAAAAAAAAATCGGGACGACATGGCCATCGCCCCACTCTTACGTTTATGTGGTTGTGTCTCATCCACCAAGTTGAGTCGTCATTTTAAACATTGGCCTTTTACGCTGTTGAGTCATAGTGGTTTCCCTTTTTCTGCTGGTGGATAAGTTCACAATTCGTTTTTTTTTTTTTTTTTTTTTCTGCCGAATTTATACAAGTGTTCGATGTGTGCGTCTGCATATATAAGGAAATATCCCCACGATTCCTTTTTCTTTTTGTCCTCCCAATAGTATCATCATTTTGTGGCCGAAAAAAAGAGGTTACACAGAATTGGTAGCATGTGTGTATGGGGGGTACACCTACTGTGAAATGAATAATTCTCCAACGGAGGAGGAATCTCCAATTGGTGTCTTCCCCAGCGTATGCTTGTATTTCGAGGGAACACCTTTGAGGCAACATTATCTAACCATAAATGTTTGTCCAATGTAGATTCCAAATTATGTTTCCGTTCTTTATGGGCATAATTGCAAGTAGGTGTTTATCTTGAAAAGTGCCGCGCAAAGGTGTTGCCAATCTGGGAAGTACAGCAAAGGGGCAAACAGTTGAGCAAAGAAAAAAAAATTCCATATCGTGCTATAAGCGCGAAAATTGAAGTAGGCTGTGTAAACGCAGGACATTTCGTTTTGCTTCCTCCCAGGGGATGTGTCAACCAACTTCAGCGTTTAACTCGGACACGGGAAAATAATGAACATCCGCGTATCTGTTTTCATAGGCCAACCGCGTGTCAGATGTTTACTCCTTCATTCGTTAATTCGTTCATATAGCCGGGTGTCCCCATGCGTGTTGCGCGACCCCGTCCGTTTCAGCGCAGAATGTGAAGAGGCCGGGGAAATTCTCCCCGCGGGGAACCGAGAAGAGTAACGAATCAAGGGGTAAAAGAGCATGCGAATAACGGATCATCCATCTTATTATATTCAATTAGGCTCTTTTCCTTCCCTTTATAACTCCATATATTGTAGGAGCATTGCGAAAAAGGCGTTAATATGTACATTTTAACAACCTGAGGAGTAAATCTCCTAGCCGAACCACTGCGGGAAAACGTTCAGGTTGTTTTTATTGCGAAGCGAAATTATCATTTAGACATTGAGGTGGATGATGGAAATAAAAAAAAAAAAAAAAAGAGATACATATACACGGCTTCACGAGCGCAATCGCCTACGCACACATGCGCGTAGAGTATACATATCAGTATTGCCTACCCGCACGGGAGAGTGCGCACATTTTTTTTTTTTTTCTTTTAAGGTGCCAATTGAATTGCGGAACGTTTCCCAAGAGAAAAATGGGATGCCATGATTAAGCGTGAATTATCGGTTGTTCCATAAAGGCTTTGAAGATTTGCTAGGTGTGTTCTTGTTTTATTTTTTCATATTTCTCTTCGCATTTTGCGTCAAGATTGGTGACCTTCCGGGGCCATGCTTTAAAAGTAAGCGGCATTCGGGAGCCCCCCAACGCGTGCAGTGGAGCAATCGAGTGGATATACATACGTGCATACATAGGTAATTACATACGTACATACCTACGTACGTACATTCGGACAACGCGCTGAAAGACCCCTGCACAGATACTGACCGCGGCGCCCAATGGAGGAAGACTCCTTTAAGAACAGACTGCTGAAGCGCAACATCGACATATGGATAGAGAAGTACCGCCCCGAGTGCCTAGACGATGTAGTGGGAAATCCCTTCGTCATAAACACTCTCAAGAGCATCATCGTATCGGGGAACATGCCAAATCTCCTCCTAGCTGTAAGTGCTCTGTTGAGGATCTGCCCAGTTCTTCAAAGCGCAGGAGGCAGTTCCTCCCCAGCCTGCACACAATGCTGTTCTGCAAGCTGCCCGTCCTTGTTCATTTTTGTCTCCGTACAAAAGATTAATTGTAAAATGGGAATTTATAGTGGTAGTGAATTTTGGGCTGTGAATTGGCGACACGTTTGGCTGTGAACATGGAGAGCCCTCTTCACGACTGCACCGTGACACCCACAGTTATGCCACCAATGTGGAGCCTTTTTGTGGAAATTTTCAATCCATTTTTTTTTTTTCTTTCTTTTTCTCTTTTTTTTTCTTTTTTTTATTCCTGGACTGTTTCCACCTTTTTAGGGTGCCCCGGGGACTGGGAAGACGACGAGCATTCTCTGCCTAGCCAGCGAAATGCTGGGAGCTCAAGCGAAGAAAGCCGTCCTGGAATTGAACGCCTCAGACGACAGAGGAATTAACGTAATCAGAGACAGAATAAAAAGTTTCGCAAAGGAAATTATAACTCTCCCCCCAGGAAGACACAAAATTATCATACTGGACGAAGTGGACTCCATGACCACAGCCGCACAGCAGTCATTAAGAAGAATCATGGAGCTGTATTCAGACACGACCAGATTTGCTTTAGCTTGTAATCAGTCTGAGAAGATAATTGACGCGCTTCAAAGCAGATGTGCCATTATACGGTACTTTAAATTATCAGATGATCAGGTTTTGAAGCGAATTGTAAAAATATGCCAAATGGAAAACATAAAGTACACAGACGATGGGTTGGAAACCTTGACCTTTATAGCAGATGGGGACTTAAGGAAGGCAGTGAATTGTCTGCAGTCAACTTATGCTGGGTTAGAAGTTATAAACAAAGAAAATGTCCTGAATATCTGTGACATTCCTTCTCCTGAAAGAATTGAGAATTTACTAAAATTTTGCATCAACAGTGAGTGGAAAAAGGCACATGACATTGCGTACGACATGATAAGGGAAGGACACACCCCTTTCGATGTTGCTCTCACGTCTTCAAATGTGTTGAGAAGATACGACTTGGGCTCTGAGGCTGTCCAGATCGAGTTCTTAAAAATTGGCGCTATGGCTTGTAACACCATGGCCAGTGGTCTCGCCACCGTTATCCAGCTGGATAGGTTGCTCGCCGACTGGTGCATAGCAGCCAAGGCATTCCGCACCAAGAGTTAGTTCGTGAAACGAAAAAAAAAAAAACCCCAAAAAAATCGAAAAAAAAATCCAAATAAAAACATGTGCACCAGCGTCATTGACATGAGAAGCCCTTGGCGCTTTCCATATCAGGTGCGTCATCCTTTTATTATTATGTTACTCTACTATGTATTACCATTTTTCTCTTTTTTTTCTCTTTTTATTCTTTTTTTTTCCTCTTTTTTTTCTCACTTTGGGAATACCCCCGCGGGTCAATTCGACCGGGAGGGGCCCCCTTCCTTTCCACCTTCTTCATGAGGCTCCGATGCAAAATTATGAAAAAAATTAACAAGTTTATATTTTGTTTTAATTTAAAAAAAAAAAAAAAAGGGGAGAATAGCGGAACGAATGTGTACAGGGAGAAAGGGTTACATTTTTTATGCGCACGTGGACACGCCCACGTGGCATACAAATCGGCGGCTCCGCAGGTGGGGCGGTCGCTTTGGGGGAGCCAGGGTGATAAAAAAAGGAAAGCTTCATGCTCTTTTAACGAATAGACGCATGCATTGGCTACACATTTGGATTGAAGGAAATACAAACATGGGTTCGCCGCCTACTACGTCAACAGGCTGGAAGCACACGCACGTGCGTACGTCCTTAGGCCTTCTGGGGGGCGGTGCTACCGTGTCGCCTGTCCTTGTGCGCTACATCGTGCCTGCTCCGATGCATTAAAGTGTCCCCCTTGGGATTTGCATTATGCGCGTTGCTACTGTGCTAGCCGCTAACATTTGACCTTCCACTGTTAGCTCTTCCACCGTTCGCTCTTCCATTATTTGCCCTTACACTATTGGCCTTTCCACTATTGGCCCTTCCACTATTGACCTTTCCACTATTGGCCTTTCCACTATTGGCCTTTCCACTATTGGCCTTTCCACTATTGGCCCTTCCATTATTGGCCTTTCCACTATTGGCCCTTCCGCCAAGCGCGCTGCTGCCCCTCCGGCGCTTCCCCATTACGTACTTGTTGTATACATAACTTCGCAAGCGCTTTCCATAAATGGGGGGAAGCTTGGTCGGGTCGGCGACTTCAGTTTCTGGTTCCTTCCTGAGCTGATCTTGATATGCCTGTTCAGTGAGCACGAATCCGTTGCTTTTACTTTTAACATAGTGCTGTTGCGCTGCCCTCTTCTCGTCTTCCCTTCCATTGGTCATCCCATTGTGCTTTTGGTTCCTTTTGTCCCTGCTCATGTCTCCACTTTCCTTCCCCTTTCTTCTCATCCCATTTTTGCTTATCCCCTTCCTCTTAGGCTTCTTCAAAAATAAGTTTTTCAATCTGTCCTTAATGAGTTTCTGTGGCACGACGTGTGTGTTAAAATGTTTTACAATTTTGTTGATGGTCCTTTTTTCGTCTTCATTGGAGTTGAAAAATTCTTTCAGCTCCTTCGACTTGAGAGATTGATAAAGGATCTCCTTTTGAATAAAATGTTTCACTTTTTTGTTGGTGCATTTGATGAGGATGGATTCTACTCGGTACCTGTACATCTCGACCTTATTCTGTGCCACTGCCTTATGATTTATGGTGCATATATTTTTGGCTCCTATTTTTTGGAGTAGTTTTTTTTCCGCCGGTTTATTTTCGTTGACGAAGGAAATGCTGATCCCCTTGTTGTCTAGCCTGCAGGTCCTTCCCACTCGGTGCACGAAGGTCTTGGTGTCCAGGGGCATGTCGAAGTTAACCACGCAGTGCACGCCTTGGAAATCGAGTCCGCGGTTGTACAGGAAGTCCTTCTCCTCCTCGCTACCGTCGTCCAGGTTGCTCCGCAAGTCTTCGCCGCGATCCGTATCGTTAGCATCCGCATCGTTAGTATCTCCATCAAAGCCGCTGTCGTCATGATTGGTCGCATCCCCCGTATCATCTGTGTCCCCCCCACTGCGAACAGTTCCAATGCTGTCCATGTTGTCTATGTCGCCCATATCGCTCATGTTGCCCATATCGCCCATGTCGCCCTTCCTCCCCCCCCTCGCTGCGGCATTTTTCTCATACTGCGGGCATATCAAAAAGAAGATCTTATAATTGTTAAACGCAAAAATGATGTTCTGTCTAACCAAAATGGGATGGTTTGGATTCAGGATGGAAGAAGCAATGTCAAAGTAAGTGAGGAAAATCTTTATCTTGTATGCATCATGGATGGTAGAAGTAAAAATAATCGACTTGTGCAAAATTACTTTCTCATTTATAAGGTCGTACAGATAAATATATTTTGTCGTTTCGTCTGGGTAGAGGTAGCAAAATGATTTGCCCCTGAATTGCTGATGCATGACGGGTTCCCTGACTTTGGGGGTCCCAGAAGCATCACTCATCTTGTTGCTTCGCACCGGAACACTGCTACTGTCCCGGTTGGAAGCAGCCCCCCTCTTATGAAGGCCCTCTGGATGATCTACACTAAGGAAGGTGGTGCGACTGGTGGGACTTGCATTCTTTTCCAATTCTTCACTTAAAAAAACAGGCTTATGCAAAAAAAGTTTCGTTTTCTCCACGAGGCTCTCCTTCAGTGTAGCCGATGCCATCACAATTTGATATTTCTGGGAATAATTTTTTGGAAAGTGGTAGCTAGCCAAAAGGTTCATCCATTTTTGAAACTCTCTACTGTGCAAAATGTCCGCTTCATCAACAACGAGTATTCTTAAATTGGATAATATATCCAGGTTATATTTTCTCTTGCACTCTACCGTGTGATTGTACAGATGTTTAGGGGTTGTGACTAGAACAGTTGGATGATCATAAAATGTTTTGTTTATATTGTGATTAAATGATAGGATATTCTTCAGGTAGGAGCATAATGTCTGTGCTACTTCATAAATCTGTAGGCATAATTCTTCTGTGGGGGCAAGGATTATTCCTTTGTAAAAGAATTTCAATGACTCCTTTTCATTTAAATTTGACTTCACTATGTTCTGCACTAGTGGGATGAGGTAGGCCATGGTTTTCCCTGACCCCGTCTTGGAACTTATGATGACATCTTTCCCTTGGAGGATATGTGGAATGGCTGCTTTCTGTATTTTCGTTGGGTGCTTAAATTTGAAGAGATAAAGGATTGCCTTCCTGAGCCTCACGTCCAGCAGGATGTTTTCGAAGTCGAGGAAGTTCTGCCCCCTCTCGAAGTGGTCATTCTGCCCATCCGCGCGGTCAAGAGGGTTTCGCTCCTGGGGCTGACTAGTGTGATCACCTTTCTTTTCCTCTCCCTCCTCTTGACTCGTATGATCGTCTTGATTTTGTTCCTCCTTCGCTTCATTTTTGTGATCGCCCTGCTTTTGCTCCTCCTCCTCTGGACTCGTGTGATCGGCTTGCTCTTGCTCCTCCGATTGACTCGTGTGATTACTTCGCTTTTCCTCTTCCTCCTCTTGACTCGCGTGCTCCTCCTGATTTTGTTCCTCCTCCGCTTGACTTGTTTGATCGTCTTTCTTTTGATCCTCCTCTACTTCACTCGTGTGATCGCCTTCCTTTTGCTCCTCCGTTTCCACCTCCATTTTGTGGCTTCCCCTTTTGCTGAAGAGTAACATCGTGCCCGCCGCGACCTGGTTAACCCTACTCGCGCCCTTTGGCTTTACCGCTTTCCCAGCGCAGGGAAGAACAACAATGGGGTAAAGTCCAGATCGCCTTTCGCAACGGACGTACGTAGGAGGACAAATAAGCATGTATACATATAGGTAACGTTCAATCGACCCCTTTTTTCAGCCCATTTGGTGGTATCGTGTTACCCTCGTGCAGTTCCTCGCATGGCTGATGGAGTCCAAATAAGCGACTCTTCCCCCCTTTGTTAAAGCTTCTCTGAATGAGTTTTTTTTCCTTTTTTCCACTTCGCTTTCGTTTTTGTTCACGCCTCAGTTTTTTCTTTTCTTTCCTTTGCTTTTCTTAATTTCCTTTTTTTTCCCACTCGTAAGTCAACCAACATTGGTGCGCTTTGGAGAGGGTCTTCTACGAATCGTTGGTCATAGCAGCGTTAAACTGGAGCCAGGCCACAAAGGGCGAAGCGTAAGCTGGTTTTGCAGCGTGGGTCCGTAAAATAAAAATAACCCCTTGTCAATGTTTATTTCTTTGCTACATAGAATAACTCGCATGTTGCGTGCGCTGCTATTATTATTTTGCTTCTTCCCCCTGCAAAAAATTGACGCTACCCTTGTTCTGTTTTTTGGTAACGCGGCAGGTCTCACGCAGGTACATATACATGAGTAAGCATATGTTTGTCATATATTTTGCATCCATATGCAGTTCCAAACGCGTGAGCGCCTTGTACTTTTATGTAACCCCACAGAGTGAAAAAAACAAACGACGTTCCCGTGAATGGAAGTATAAAAGGAACATTTTTATTTTCCGACAACGTTGGTGGGGACCCGTGCGCGATTTTGCTTCATTGCCGTTTGGGATTGTTCTTTTTTACCAGTCTGGTGCCAATTTTTTCCAATTTCTTCCAATTTTTTGCGCTTTTCCCCACTTGAGCGGTACTACATGTTACTTGGCAATCGTGTGGGCAGCTTCCCCCCCTTGTTGTTCTTCCGCCTTGTTTTTCTTCATCTTCTTCTTCTCCCGCCGCGATGTTGCTTTCCTTCTACGTAACCAAACCAAATGAGCTAATTAACGGGATAGCAACTCCTTGGAAACAAAAAAAAGGCAGTATTTTCATCTCTGTTAAGACACTGAAGGGAGGCTAATAAAGAGGAAGCTCTGCGCGAGTAGCGAAACTGCCATTTTTTTTTTTCCTTTTTTTTTCCTTTTTTTTTTCTTTTTTTTTTTTTTTTTTTTTTTTTTTTTTTTTTTTTTTTTTTTTTTTTTTTTTTTCTTTTTTTTTATCTTTTTTTTTTCTCCCCCACGTCGCCTAAATTTCCCCACTGGTTCATCCCCCGTCGGTTGCCACTCAGCAGGTATACACAGATATTGTACCACCTGGGACTGCTAACATTCCCGCAGGGGTAAAAGGGCTGGATAAAAGGGAAGTTTTCACACGCGGACCATATCTGCGTAGGGAGATTTATCACAAGTATGCTTCGAAAATGATGTAAATGTGTGCCCCTGCTCCCACCCACATAGGAGTACATGCGTATTCCCAGGAGAAAATTGTGTACATTTTTTTTTCTTTTTTTCTGGACGAGTGTTGAATTTTCACCGCCCGTGGCATATTTCATACGTACGTATGAGCACACAGTTGGTGAAATTTTATTCTCTAGTGTTTGCAAAATTGATTCCTTTGTTTATTCAAATCGCTTTAATTCCCTTTAATTTGCTTCAAATCAATTCACTTCAATTCACTTCGCTTGTTTTTTTTTTCTTTTTTGCCACTCACAAAAATGTGAAATCCCCTTTTTGCGGTTTAAGTCATATGTTGGACTTTACCTAAACGATATATATACGTTTCAATGGGGTGTACTTTTTTCTTGCGCTGTGTGTTGACCTCTGTGCGGGCATCGTACCACTGCGCAGCTTTCTCCTTCGTATAACCATCTTTTTAAAGCACACAAAACATTTGACAGAAAATGCAAAAAGGGGAAACGTTGTTTTATGCTTTTCTATTTTTAATCCCCATCATAGGCACTTGGATATATCTAAGAATTGTGGACAATAAAAAGAAGAAAAAAAAAAGTGACTCTTTAGGACAGGCTGAAATAGGAAGTGCACACACGGAAGACCAAAACAAGTGTCATTCTGTGGCAGATCAATATAAGAATCTTTCCAGAAGAAAGATCAGCAGCATGGAGGACACTGCGTCTTTTTCTTTTCATTCACATGTCAACAGATTGGGTGCTGCTTCACGGGGTGATGAAATGGGAACTGAAAGCATCGAATGTGTAGAGAAGGACTCCGCCTTGGGTGGGTCCGCGGGGAACCATGTGAGGGATAATTTATCGAATGCAGAGTGTGAAGAGGAACGGGAATCACACACCAAACGGTGCGGCGAAGGAGCAACAGAGGAGAAGTGCCAGATGAATGGAGCCCCAATGGGAGAATCCTCAACAGGGGAGGGATCCCTCGAGCGAATTTGCCAGTATAGCGAAAGAGAGAAGTCCGAAGTGGGAGGTGCAACAGAGGGCGAGATGAGCCGTGGGAGGGGTAGCGAAAGCACCATGGAGAGCCTTCCAGGCATCAGTTATGCGAAAGCGCACCCTGGGAACCAGACGACTGATAGTTATAATGATAAAGCAAAAAAGAAAGAAACTGATGAAATAAGCGAGAAGGACAGGGAAACCAACGAAGTAAACACGCATGAGAGCCAACCGAACAATGTAAACACAAACGAGAACGACAAAAGAGAAAGTTTCGAGTTGGACAGCCAGGAAGATCCTAGCTGCACATTTGCGAAGCAGCCAAACGGCCGGACAAAGACAGAAGACATGAAAGAACAACTGAATAAAGAAGACACGAATGACCGTGTGAGAAAAGACACAAATGCCCATGTGAGAAAAGACACAAATGGCCATGTGAGAAAAGACACGAATGATAATATGAGAAAAGACACGAATGACAATGTGAGAAATTACTATAGTGATAACTGTATAAGTAAAGATCATTATCAGGATTCCAGTTCACACCTGAGCTCATCCGTGGAGGATGAGGAGTCGGAGGACATCAGCTCCAACGAGGGCGACTCGGATAGGAGTGAGGACTCTGCCGATGGGAGAAGTTCATCCGTCCTCAGCGAGGACTATGATGATGAGGAGGAAGAGGATGACGGAGATGATGAAGATGACGAAGGTGATGAAGATGACGAAGATGGTGAAAATTACGCCGATGGCAACTGCCTAGATGACCAGAACACAGAAGAGATAAAGTACCAAGGAAATGAGTTATTCAAAAAGGGCGACTACAAACAGGCCATCTTTTACTACAATAAGGCTTTAATAAAATGCAAAGAGAAAAGTACCAAGTCCATTCTATACTCCAACAGGGCAGCTTGCTACTCACATTTAGGCAACTGGAATCAGGTGGTGGAAGATTGCAATAAGTCTATTAACTATAATGAGAGCTTTGTTAAGTCCTACCTCCGCAGGAGCAATGCATATGAACAGCTGCAAAAATATAATGACGCGTCGAATGACTTAAATAAAGCCATATCTTTGGATTCCTCCCTCCTGGCAAACTACGAAATGAAACAGAAAAAATTAAAGTACCTGGCTGAACAGCAGTTAAATAAAGAAAAGGAAGAAATGGTGGGGAAATTAAAAGACTTTGGTAATTTGTTGCTAGGCAAAGTTGGATTGTCACTTGATAATTTTGAAGTGCAAAAGAATCCAAACAATGATGGTTCTTTTAACATTCAATTTAAGCAGAATAAGTAGACTGCATTTACAGCCAGTTTTTCCATTACACGTTCCGCCGCTCTCTTTGTACACACGTTTAGGCGTCTACATTTCTTCCCTTTGTTTGTTTTTTGTGTTGTACCGCTGTATTGTTACGCAGTTTTGTGTAGTTTCTTTTTTTCTTCTTTTTTTTTTTCTTTTTGGGGAATGGTGCCATTTTCTACTCTTTTTCACACGGCAACATGGCAGCGGCGCAACTTGTGGCATATTTTTCTTTTTGCTCCCCCTCATCCTTTTCCACGTGATGACCAATTAGCCACGCCTCGTACGTGTTCGTAACGGAGAGAGAAAAAAAAAAACAGTTATTCTTTTTTTCCCTTTTTTTCGTCATGCCTTTTTTTTTACATGCACAAAATAGTCAATCTTAAAAACTACTTTTGTCTTGATATAAAGAAGAAAGATTAAAAAAAACATACACATTCGGTAGGTACGCCACGTTTGCCAGTTGTTCTGGGAGCTAGCAAATGAACAGAAAAAATCATTTCGTCCATAGGGATTATAGAGGAGTCATAAAAATACAAGAAAAAAACAGGAGATGGAAGTTAATTCGGGTGTCACACAAAAAGGATAACATATACACACCTAAACAGAAGTAAATGATGTTGCATGACAACGAGGGGGCGTCGGTATTTTACAAAAAAAAGGGGGCCCTACGCGCGCGAGAGGGTGTAGGTGCATACGTACGTAAGGCACATATGGACACGCTTCGACCCACAGGATGTACCACTGCCCGTGCCTGTGCATTCCCTCATTGTCCTTCCCGATTTACAAATCAGCCATTTTAAGAGGGCCCCTTTTCTGCTCCTTCCACTTGAGGGGAAAACGAATCCCGCGGGGAGGGAGAGGGGCACCTAAAAGGCGTGACGGAGATGACACACACAAATACGAAAAAAAAGAAAAAAACAAAGAAAAAAAAAAAACGCTGCTCCCCTTTTCGCCTTGTCCTTTCGTTCCCGTCCCCCCCCAAAGATGGAACTTTTCCTGAGGAGGAGGTTGCAGTGAGCCAAGATCACACCACTGCACTCCAGCCTAGGTGACAGAGACTCTGTCTCAAAAAAAAAAAAAAAAAAAAAAAAAAGAACTCATTTGAATGATATAAGCGAGTGGCAGAAGGGATGACTCTTCCCTGCGCGTAATCCTAATGACAGAAATGCGCGGCATTTCTGTGAATGGGTTTGAATTCCCAAACTGGCGCCATTCCTGACTTCCTTCTTTGCAGTCGTCTCTCTCTATCTGTGCAGAACATCAAGCAAGGTGCGCCACCAATCATATGCCAGCCGAAACGAACATAGCGAAGAACATAGCAAATAGCATAGTGAACAACGTAACGTTATTTTCTCTTTTTTTTTTTTTTTTTTTTTTCTCTACGCTAGGAGTACACCTTAACGAGGTGGTTTAAAACCTGCTGGACGCTGAACCCATCGATGGCATCAAAATCTCCGTCACTAATCGATTTCTGTTTCAACGCATTCGCAATAAACGGTGGAGTAATTCTTGTAAAGCCAATGCCACTTCTACAGAACTTACAGTGCTTCTCCGGAGGGAAGGCCAGATCTCGGTTGAGAAATTTTGTCTTCCTTTCCGTTTTACCATCTGTGAGTTCGGGTTGCCCTCCCTGCACTTGTGTCTCTTGAATTATCGATTCGTACATAGATCGCAAGGTAACTGCATTGTGTATTCTCCATAGGAAGATGACGAATGATTCGGCTGAGTGCATGTTACAAAATCCATAGTAGCATGACTCCTGTGCGGTGACAAAGTGCTGTATGCAACTTTCGCAGTTCAGATACTTTCTTACGTAGTCCGTTAATGCGTTGATGTAGAAGTGGTACCTTTCCTTGTCCCACATGAGACAGTGCACCGATATTTTGTGGAAGAGCAGCCAGTAGGAGCAGAGGACGGAGTTCTCTTCGCACACTTTGAATTTAGGCTCGCTCCAGGGGGTGTCACCGAGAAGGCTCTCCAGACCGGTTTCATTGCTGAGGGGGGCGCGGGCATCGATCCCAAAGGCGCTTCCAACCGTGGTGCTGACCCCCATCCCTGCAATCTCGTCGACAACCTTGGACCACTGCTCATATCGGAGGGGGTACCTCTGCGAGGTCAGCTTCTCACGAAGGTCGCCTAGCCACTGGGCCAGTTCAGGATACATATCCGAAACGATCTGTATCATAACGAGAAAAGGTTCCACCGTAGATTTGTCCACATCTAACCCTAATGAAATGTGCTTCTTCAAAGTGAACAGCATACCCCTTACAATGTCGTGCTTTAGGTCATCCCTAGTAAAGGTCGTCCCCTGCCATCTTTCGACAACCATTCGATTTGCACTAGCACCTTCTTTTCCTGTGATTTCCCCTATGAGCCCATTGGTGGAGGATATAAACATGGCATACTCAGGGGACTCTTCCACTGTTGCGACATCGGCGTAACAGGATTTCAAATCGATGTGATTAAAGTTAACATTTTTGCACAAATGCGTCTGAATCATTCTTTGGAACTCTGCAAGGTTATTCACTCGGTCCACTTCCCTGTAGGCAAGAAGCAACTCTTTGTTGTACTGTCGATTGGCCATTTCTGTTTTGGGAGCTATGTATTTATACTCGGCACCTTTACTGTCCATGTAATCATACACTGGGTAGAGGAGCCGAAAGGTGGGGAAATAAAGAACCTTAAAAAATCTGCAGTACGGTACAAACAAGTGGCATGAGCAGTCAAACACAAACAGAGAGACATTACTCTCATAATTTGATATTTCCTCTTCCAGTTTATTCCACACATCGATGTACCGATTGCATGCTGGGCAGTAGTAATTTTTTATGTTTATTAAGATGACATCTCCATGCTTTGCCTTGTCTATGGTATCCCAGAATTTGCTCAAGGTTTCCTCTGCGCCTTTACAAACATCTTCGCTTCGTGCGCATGGTACGCTGGTCAGGATAATGTACAGAAGGAGCAGCAGGGGCAGGAGGCGTCTGCACAGTGGCAACATCGTTGGAATAGGGGGTGGCAGAGCGGTGACGCGCTAGGGGAAGGCCACTTTAGAGCGACAGCTCTGTGACTCACCCCTTTCGTTAGCTGACTCCGATTTGGGGATCTTCAACGTTGGCCCAGTTATTCCCACGGGCAACGCATTTCATTTTGGGGGGTTCGCGCGGGAGCGGCACGAGTGTGGAAACCAGGCAAGGGAGAAAGTTGCACAAGCGCGGAAACCGCACAAGAGTGGACGAGGTACTAGTTCGCTATTCTCCTTTTTCGGTTTGGATGCCCCGTCTGCCGCCAATTGGGCACGAAGCGGGGGAACAAAAGTGGTGGGACTAATTAAAACACAAATTGCTGCACAAAGTGGGACGAAGCAGACGCACAAGTGGGGGCAAAGCAGACGCACAAATGGACGCATGCAGGACGTACTTATCTCGCTAGGTGCGCAGTGAACCAACGAGGGAATGTTGTCCCCCCCTCAGGATGGCAAAAGAAAACACCAGTTAGTTTAGACCGGTTTAGTGCCGAAATGTGGCAATTGGCAGCATCACCGGGTAGGAATTCCGTTACGGGGAAGGGAAGAAAAAAGCAAGCCTCTCGCTCAAGTGGTGACTCTTTCGACAGGCATAAAAGCAGGAAGGGTCTCCACCCGTCCGCACCAATGGCTACGCATCAAATCTACTCAAGCGGGGAGCATACATATGCACATAAACGTACGTCTAGGCCCATACAATTCACGCATACGTTTAGCGGCGTATAACTGGGCAGGTGACCTTCACTCAATTATTATGCGGGAGGGAAATTAATAAAAATGGGAACAAAAAAAAAAAGAAAAAAAAAAGGGGTATAATACCCTACTGTTAAGAATTTTTCTTTCTTTTTTTTTAATGCGTTTGTAAAATTAAGTTTAAACTGGTAAAAGCGGGCACAAAAGGATGAGTAGTTTTTTTGGTGAGCAGTTGTCATGTTACGAAGAAGGAGCTTTTCTTGTTCATGTCCCCTTAACGACAACAAAGAATGGATTAAAAAAAAAAAAAACGCAGATAATAAAGTAGGCATCCATACCCGCTTTTCAAGAAGTCCCATTTATACGGCGCGACAAATTGCTACGAGGATGCTCGGCAAATGAAGATTATGGTGGGGCGCGGAGGGTGAAAAGAAGAAGAAAAAAAAAGAGTAGTTCCCTTTTTCCTAAGATGGCATATAAGGGGAGCGCACCTTGACGAGCATTAAGTTACGTGCGTTCTTACTACATCCATTTGATACCCTTAAGTGAACAGAACTGGTTCTTCCTGCCTGGGTACACGAGGCATATCCCGGCGCGCGTTCCACTCCACCGATGTTACTTCCTTGATGAATCCTTTTGCGCATCCCGTGAACCGTTCACAGGACGGAGGTGAAAACGACAAAGGAGGCAACTACGCCGTCATATTTATTTCCCCCCAGATGTGAATTGCATACTGGAAGGAGATACAACCGGTTCGTGCATTGCGCCAATTTGAAAAGTCCCATCTGGAGGGGAAAAGAAAAGTGTGAACAGTTGGTAACAGAAATAAAGTAACGGACGAGTGAAGGCAACGCAAACACGACACAGCGCCAACGCAAAGGCGAAGTGAGGACCCCCAAAGTGCACCCCAAGAGAACTCCCTGTTGCGCAACACCATACCATGTCGAATGCCAAGAAAGAGAAAGGCAAAAACGAAGCCGACCTAGTGGACAAACTAAACTACAAAAACTTAAGCGATGTAACGCTTCACGAGCTGACGTGTCTTAAGCCAAATCGACAAGTGTACTTAAAAAGAGGAGGCACCTTTTTCTTGAGTTCCCGGGAAGAAGCCCTTTCCGTGCTGAAGGAGAAGAGTCAAAACAGGGAGAAGTGTGAAAACGCGGAGAAGAGTTAGGTCCAGGGAAAAGCATCGACTCTTTTGTTCATTGCCCACTCGGAGTAGAAAGCTGAACGCAGTTGTGGCGGTCCCCTCTTTTACACCAGCGCACCAATATAAGCTGCAGACGGCCTCGTTTTAAATATAACCCCCTTTTAAAGGTACCGAAATCCAGACAGGAGTTACCCACCCCGGTGAGAAAAGCTCTAAAGGAAAAGGAAGCCGCCCATGTGAAGCATCTTCTTCTCCTTCTGTTCCAACAGACTCAGATTCGGAGCAGTTTTTCTTACTCCTCAAATAATCTCGTCCCATTATATGAAAAGATTAACATCTAACCTCCTTTTGGTATACGCGTTTTTAAATGTACCTTTTACCTACACCAGCAAGAAGAGAAGTATAAAAAATGAGAGGAAGGAATTCCCTGGACTAAAGAGCTACACAGGAGGGGGAGGGAAAACTACCAAGCGGGAGAAGCTGGGCATAGAAGCATTGCATCGTTTGTGTGGAAAGGGACCAGTGGGAGGACATACCGTCCGGGGAGGACAGAAGGGAACCAACAAGGTCACATTTTTGCATGCACTAAAGGGGAGGTGTTCAAAGATGATACGGATAAGTACCCCCTGCAGAAAGAACCCTACGCAGAAGCAATACCGCCACTGTAGCATAGTTGGGCAAGTGAGGAGCAGCCCGTCCTCCTCGGACCTCCACCAGGTGGACCCCTGCTTTGACTACCCCGGATTTAGTTTCACCGTCCTGGAAGAATCACAACAGGAGGGTAACCATAGTAGAATTGGCATTATAAAAACACCAAGGGGGGAAATAGAAACTCCGAACTTTCTCTTTTGTGCCACAAAAGGATGCATGAAGTCGACGCCGATAAACTTTGTAAAGGATTGTAAAACCCAAATTATTTTGTCTAACACTTTCCACCTGTTGATTCATCCCAAGCCCCACGTGATTTTCCAGTTGGGTGGGTTGCACAAGTTCATGAACTGGCAGGGCCCCGTCCTCACGGACTCGGGGGGCTACCAGCTGTTCAGCATGGCATTTGGATCCGTTTCGGACGAGATAAAGAGGAAGTCTAGGAGGAGCACTGGAAGAACAGGTAGAAGTGGAAGAACAGGTGGCGCGGGTGCCGCTGGTTGCACCGCTACCCCTGTCGCTGCCAGCGGTAGCAAGATGGCCACCTCGTCAACCCCGCAGCCCCGTCGCGGAGACATAATCGTGAAAATCAGAGAACAGGGCGCTCTGTACAAGTCGTACCACGACGGGTCTCTGGACATGCTGACACCGGAAAACTCCATTCAAGCACAGTACCTCCTGGGGAGCGATTTCGCAGTGGTGCTAGACGAATGCACCCCGTATCACATAGAGAGGGAATATACGGAGCGGTCCATGCACAGGTCACATAGGTGGTACATTAGGTGCCTTCTAGAATTTCAAAAAGCTATGAGCATGCCAAATTACCATTCTTACCTGAACGAGTTGCACAACAAGAAGTACGGAGTGAAAGATAAATGGAGAGAAAGGGAAGCCAATAGACAGGCTCTCTATGGAATAATCCAAGGAGGAATATACACGGACTTGAGAATGAAAAGCTGCCAGGTGGTTTGCAATTTGCCTTTTTTTGGCCTCTGCATTGGGGGGTGCCTAGGGAAGGACAAGCAGATGATGTATAGTGTCATCGAGAAGACTATGTGGTTTGTCAGGGAGGAAGGCTCCGCGGGGAAAGCCAACCGAATTGGTAGCACTCTTGTTGGCAGCTCTAAACCGGTGCACCTCTTGGGGATTGGCCAAATTAAGGACATATTTTTCGGAGTGCGACAGGGGATTGACACGTTCGATTGCGTCATTCCCACGAGGCTGGCAAGGCATGGATATTACCTATGCACAGTTAAAACGATTAAGGACGTGGAAGAGAAATTGCATAAATGTATTAAGAATGAGTATATAAAAATAAAATCAAGGATTCACGAAATGGATCCTAATCCTCTCGAGGAAGACTGCCCCTGCTACACGTGTGCGAATTATTCCAGGGCGTATTTGAACCACCTGTACAAAATTAATGATAATTTGTTGGGAACTCTGCTGACCATACATAATGTGTGCTACATGAACCGGCTCATGGAGGATATCCGCGAGGGGATCAGGCGTGGCCGCTTGGATGAGGTTGAGGGGAGATGGGTTCGGTGACAGGGCCGATGGGGGTATATCTTGGGGCCTATATCTTGGCACGTCACTCCCGGGTGCTTCTTACTCCTGGTGGGGATATCCCCACGAAAGGGAGAAAATGTAAGAGCCCCTCCTTTCTGCATAACCACCGCGGAAGCGGCCCCGCCATGTCCACAACTGAACAAATTAAAAACTTTGCAGAGACTCTGTTCTCGCCAATTGATCTGTAACAGCGCGGTTTTTTACGTATAAGGCGAAAAAAATGAAGCAGAAAAGTGAAGCGAAAAAATGAGGCGAAAAAACAATGCATCAAATTACATGATAAAATAATGTCAAAACTGCATGACAAAATGGGCAGCATCAGCGGTATGTATTTCCAGGGCGGCGCACATGCGAGGAAGAGGACGCAGTGGAAGCAACACGCCGTAACAAATGATCACATAAAAAGGTTACGCAGTTGGGTAAATCAGTGTGGTGCGTTTAAGGCGGTACGGTTTCTTAAAAAAAAAAAAAAACATAGCCCAAGTGCGTAAAAAGGCAATTGTGCCTATATGTATTGGTATGTGAGCACTTCTCGTCTTCAGACCTCCACGTAATGAGAATCTTTCGTGGTTTTTCCTTTGCCAAAGAACTTTTTCTTCAGTCCCCATTTTTTGTTGTCGTCGCTGTTGTTTCCCTTTTTGCCTTTCGATTTTGGGTCTGTCGAGGGGGCGAACAAAATGTAAGCGAATGAGGATGTTTAAGAAAACACGCGAAACCAGCCCAGGCGCGCACGAGTTCGTGTCCACAGGTTAGCGAGGCACGTTCACCACCAAGCTGAGTGCAGAAGGGAGACTTACTCAGATTGTCCAAGAGGCTATGCTGCGTCCTCACTCCGTCAAAAATGCTCTGCGCAGGGGGGGGGAATAAAATAAAAAATACAGAAATGGCATAATGGAAAAATAGAAAATAGCAAAATGAAAAGTAGCAAAATAACAGAATAGAAAAATGGCATTGCGCATGTGTCCCTATTTTGCGTCATCGCTCCGCCTCTGCTCCCTGCGGGGCGATGCTCACCTGGGTTGTCTTCCAACAGAGCGCCGTGTTTACCCACGTTAGGACGCCATAGGTCATCATCAGTGAGAGGTCCTTCGCGCTGTAGGTGAAGATGCTGCGCGGGGGGGAAACCGTTATGGAATGGATGAGCAAGAGGTGCAAAGAGGACATGGTCAAAATAGTCAACGTAAAGAACGTGGATGGGATAATCAACATGTCCAGGCCAAGCTTCATCGAAGCGCCAGGAAAGAGTACCCCTCGATAATAGTGTAAATGGAAATTATGCTGGAAACCAAAAGCATCCAATTGTAGAATCTCTGAAAGGGGGAAATGAGGGGAGACAAACTGTTTCCTACACGTTCACGCGGGAGCTGGAGAGTACAGACGTATGGGCACATTTGTTAATTTGTTTCGCGTCTGTTTCGGCGTTACCAACAGGGAAGGGATGTACGATTTGCCTGCAAAGGAATGGGTGGAAAAAAAAAAATTCCCAACGTGAATCATGAAATAATAGACATGAAACATTAAACATGAAAGATGAAGCGTCCTAAAATGCGGCAAAATTGGAAAGCTTAAAGGCGAGGAGGCGCTAAATTTTTGCCGCCCCATTTGTCTGACGCGAGATTTTCATCCTGTCGATGAGCGCTGTATGATATGTTTGTCCCCTTTTTTTTTTTTTTTTTCTGACTCTTACCCATGAAGGAAAAGATGGGGAAGACGCAGAAATAGAGGTTTGTGAAAAGCACCCACCTGAAATAAAATAAAGATGGAAACACAAATGATCGATGAAACGACGCCGACATGGAGCCACTGGGTAGGGTACTTGCTCCGCGGAGGGGGCTCCCCCCAATGCTACATCAAATGGTTAGCTAAAAAAATAATTGGGCAAATCAATTGTGGGAAAGGACTTACCCATAGATAGAGAGCTTGGTCGAGAAGAAGCTGTAGATGAGTAGGATTAAAACAAAAAAAGTGTAAAAGGTCACAAAAAATATATACTTCCTGCATGAGGCTTTGGTTTTGTCGTCAGGCTTGTAGTGGTCGAGCCGGTTCAGAAATTGATCCATTTTGGCATTTAAAAAGTGAGCGTTAAGTGGGGGGTGACAAGAAGGGCTCGAGTCTGTTAAGTGATTGGCACTAACGTTGACATGGACGCAGACGTTAACATGGACGCTGACGTCAAAGTTGGCCTTAGCGTTAACGGTAACATCAAACTGGTACTATACTACCATGTTAGCAGCGGCAGGGCTAGCATATGTCGGTGAAGAAGTCAAACTGTAGCACTTTGTAGGAGCAGTAGTTGTACTTGCTGTTTGTGGCGAAGGCACAGAAGGGAAAAACCGAGCGGATGGTCGGGTATACATACGTACAAACATACATATATATACATAAACATAAGTAGGCATATAAATACATGCTTGCATGGAGAGAGGGGTTCAATTTGTTTATTCTTTCGTTCGCGGTTTTTCTGAATTCTTTTTGCGAGCTCAGCTGGTTGACGATCTCTTTTCTTGCATCCAACTTTGTATGCTTTTTCCCGAGCAATTCGCGTAACTATTTACAATTTTTAAAATGAACTTGGAAACAAAATGCAACTCTTCCGTGTTTTTTTTTTTCCAGGAAATATCTATCCCGATTTGCCGACATGGAAAAGGGAAAGCGCCCCGACCTGTTCCATTAGGCGTGCGCCCGCGCTCACAGTGCTCGCTATGCACGCATGCATAAAGCCGAGATACGAAAAAGTTTCTATACGCATGGGTGATGCCTCTTAAGAAGGGGATATATGCATTTATCTACATCTATATATATATGTTCCATGCTAAGCTGTAAACAGCTCAAGAATGTATAGGGTGTTATCCATAAATGATAACAATGTAAAGGGACATGTATATTACCGCTATGTGTTACACCAAGATGCTACTTATGCTTCTCGAAATTGATGCACGTTCAGTTAAGACACAGAATTGTAAATTCGCTTAGAGCCTGCAAATGAGGAATGTTCTATGTTGCTTTCTAATTTACTATAATTAATGATATTCAAAATGGAAGATGTCGTTACACTGATGCCTCTGTGTTATTCTTAGTTTTTTATTCATAATTCAATACTGCAAATTTTTCTCAAATTTCATGATGTTTTCGTTGTAATATATTATTGTCACCACAGCAGCTTCGTCATTATGTCTGTGCCCTCGTCCCTTCCTATATATTCAGGGGATATGACAATGAGTTAGTGCATAATCATTATACTCATTTTTTATTGAACTCAGTTCGTTTCCGATTCACATAGTTTTATTGGATTTTACATTATCTTCCTCACATACAGGTGTAATACTCATATTTTTTTCTTCTCCTTCTTGTTAGATTCTGCCCACAGTATGCGATATTTTTGTCCAAACTAATCAGACCCCGTCAGTACATTTCCATTAGCGAATAGGTGGCAGGAGTGTACCAGACGAACAAAGAAATATAGTCACTGCGATATTTTGACTTTCAAACATTCTATTGCACGGCGAAGAATGCTTAACGCTTACTATTGACACTTAATTCCATTTAGTCAATCTCTTTATTCAAAATTGATCTCCCCTTTGAGCAATACAAATTCCACATAGTGCTAAAGTTAACGATTCTGTTAAGACTGGCATAAAATGTGCACCTTATTCTAAACCTCAGTATCCAAAGGGATATATTCTCTGAGGGAATATCAAATTAAGCTCAATAACACTCCTGTCCTCATAAAATATAGGGATTTACTCGTTCAGTTAATTATTAATTGAATACCTAGCAGAAGTGTCTTCCACAATTAGTGTTTAATTCGAGGCAATTATGTATTTCCAAAAAGCCTTCCCTGTTACTTGGGTTTACACAGCCCAAGGATATTTCCACGCTGTAATCAATACACATCAATGAATCACATGTTGAATATTGCAACATGTATCAAAAAAAAGAAAAGAAAAATGCCCCAAAGAAGGATTGCATATATACATACGGAAATTGTAAATCAATGCAAAAAGAAAGAGTCGAAAGTGACCACCCACGATCTTCTCCAAATACTCCTGCAGAGATCTATGAGAGATGGCAGTGTAGCATGTGAAATTATCTAACAGAACAACTTAATCAGGGACGATGCACACAAAAGCAGTAATCTGTATATACAAAAACACCTGCCGCACATTTCGGAAGATACACACCAGTACATTCTTCATATGACGAAAGACAAAAATTACTTCCATCTTTTATAGGACGAACACGAAAGGGGACAATAATGTCTCAAGAAAAATGTGGTGTCCCTAAACGAAGAATGATACAGGAAACTATGTACTTCCCTAATACAGGGGCAAAGAAGTCTATGCGACAATTCCGTTTCAAAACCACGCGTACGTATCGGACAGTACGTTCAAAGTATTTGGTTCCAGGGATCTATGGAGCACTAGCAGAAGCAAATATCCAATTATGTAATACACGAAAATACCAATAACACGTCAGCACAGGAGTGCCATAGAAGAGAGAGGGAGTAGGAATAAGGACGAATCGTGTGTAGTTACGAATGAAGCATTAACTACGAAAGTGTGGATACAGAAATTAATCATTCCCCTTCATGAATGAAAACAACAATAGGTTTAACAAAACATGAACTTGTACTTGAACAGCCACATAGGAAACTATTTAAACGAAAGGAATATAATAGCGTCCCCATAAGTAGCAGATATAAACAGGATTATCCTGGAATGTCCACAAAAGAAAAAAGGAATTGCTGAGTCTAAGGCACGAAGGTTTAGAAACCTCATATAAAAGGTGGCAGCAAGCACCTATACAACAGGGACCACCATGATAATGACCTAGTAAAACAAGAACACCCACTGGGCAAAATATATCACGTATACATAGATGTTACATTCCGACGGTGCTCATACGACTGTGGTGAATGTAGATAATCCGAGAAGAGTTTCATAAGTATAGGATACATGAACCATGCAAACAGCTAGAGC